TTCTTCAATTGCTCCCAGTGTATTGTAGTGGAGTCCTAAGCTGATACCCAATGTTATCCACTGAGTGTAATCAATTGATTTTAAATTTTTCATGACATTGGCAAGATCAGTAATATCTATGTATTATATACAATACAGATGATAGTAATAATATCAATGTTAATTGTATATGTACATTATGTACATTATGTATATTTTAAATACTGTAAATTACAAATTAGGACAGAAGCTAGGATCTTTTTGAATATGCATCCATAATACATTGGAACTCTATACCTTTAGCATGCAGCTTTTGTGGGAGGTTGAACAATTTTAATGCAAACAAAATTCTCCCATCCCGCAGTCATTAAATATACATGTAATTAAGGGGTTTACCTAGGTGTTTTGCTTGAGACACATCAGAACCTGTCAGGACATCCTCTTTCATTGGCTACAAAAATAACACCATAACAAATGATGTGACTCCAATGATTACAAAATTTACATTATTTCCCTTTGGTGACTTTGCTGTTGATGTGGGTGACATTTGTGTTGCTGGTGTTGACTGCATAGACATCAAGTATCAAAAATAAGAAGATACATTAAAATTATTTTTTACCTTACTGGTGTCTTTAAACCAAACCTTCTCCTGTTCAGTAAGAGCTCGGTAGCTACCTGTACTTTTGTCACAAAACACTTGAGAATCCTGAGATAAATTTGTTGGTGAAAGTTTTATGTAATGAGGTAGAGTTGTAGTTGGGCAGCTAGTGCAGACATACTTGAACTTGTGCTTGAATACATATCGAGTTGACTTGTTATTATTAGTACCTCCACTGGCACACTTCATTAATAGTTCTTCAACTTCCTTTGCTGCACCTTCTAAATAACCATGAATATCTTGACATATTTTTGTGAAGGAAACTAATTCGTGATCAAGATGATGATGTTGTACATTGATCTGAATAACATCAGTACAATCGGTGACTACTACATGCTCAATACTGGTGCTGTTGGGATCCTGATAACGGAGTGTAACATGGTTTCTGTAGACACCTTTTTCAAAACAAAGCTCAATTTTGCTTGCAAGTACAACCACAAAACGAGTGAAGAAACCAGGAGGTACATATCCACTATTGAAGGTAATATGAAGTGGTGCTGCTTGAATGATATCTGATGGTAAAGTCATTGAACTCCTGTTAACTTGTGTGGACTTGAGAACAAGAGGCATGAAATATTGCTTGGAAGGAGGAGGATATTTATCTGTCTTAACTTCAACAGCAATGCGGAAATGAACAAGTACTTTAAGAAAAATTTCTGATGATGCATCTTTATATTCTTTCCATAGCTCTACATAAAGTGGTTGAACAAGGATCCCACACTCATGAAACAGCTTCCATTCCTTGTGGTACCTGCCTCTGTTAGGGTTTACACTTAACGGAAAAATTTTTCCAAGAGCTTCCACAATATAACTCGGATTAATAATTATCATATCCTTCATGCCTTCAATTTGAGGGTAGAACAGCAACACGCCCAGTTCATGATAAAACATGAGAACATGGTGCATATCTTTTACAGGAATTTTACAATAAGCTCCAATTATACAAGCATCTTCAAAACTAATGACATTATTGTTCTTGCTCAGAACTTGAATGGCTTTTCGAAAGAGAATCCGACTAAGAGGTGTTTTTAAAACGAAGTTTTTCTTCTGTGAATCTAACGATAGCATCCCTTAAAGCTTGAA